CACTTGTCGTCACTCTGGTGCGTCATTTTGTCGGCTACTATTATCAGGATTGAGTTAAAGGAAGTTATGCAAACCAGAAGATTTTCAAAAGTCTCGAGGAGTTCGGTTTCTTAATCGCAACATACCTTCTCGCGAGGGTCCATGCTGCTATATATTGTAGAATAACCAAATAAATTCACCCAAACTATCCTTCTGCCAGCTGCCACAAGCATATTCTTTGGGTAAATATAGTGTCGCCATAGGGCCGATCATTTTCACTCCTCAAACCTCGCAAATGCAGTCTCCTAGCCACTTACAAAATAACTAGAAATATTGATACCTGATAACATAGGGTGATTGTTCATATATTCTGTTGTAACAACATTTTAGGTCAATATTGAAGTTGGAGGAAACGCTTGACTAATTCCTATGTGGATAACTCAGAGAAGCAGTTAAAATACAAGTCTTCAGGGTTGCATGTCTATGGCTATTGAATAATCTACTGAGGTTAGTTCCAACATATTCTATAGCAACAGGCTCGATGTAATTGATGGTGGCATATGGTTGTTGCCTGTAGAGACGGAAGCTGCTTCCGTCGGGATACTGTATTAGGGAACCTTCCCGCCATGAGGGGGGGTAATTCGTATTACAAATCCCCTCCCGAACAGTTAACGTTAACTATAAAGCAAGTTCGTTTTGCGTTTGTCTCAATGTGTTAATTTGACTTTACAAGGAGAACCGTTATCCAAGCTAATAGAACGAAAACGAATTTTTATTTTTTTTTTCTATATCAAATTGTTCACTTCCGCTCTTCCCTATGATGTATAGGTCTAACGGTCAACCGACAATGAAGCAGTGGGTGCTGAGCGGAACTCGCGGGACGGATTCCCTCCAGCTCCAAGATGTTCCGATTCCCGAGCCAAGTGACTACGAGGTTCTGGTAAAGTTCCACGCCGCTTCACTCAATTTCAGAGACATCATGATTGCAAATGTGAGATCGCATCATTCTTTCAATATGTTGGGTATATCGAGAATCGAAGCAAGGAAATAACATTGAACGGCAGGGACAATACTATGTCAAAACTAAGGAGGGAGTAATTCCTGGGTGAGTACTCAGGCTTTGTACTATTTTGGTTGTGATTAAGTAAATACTGACTGGTAATAAAGCTCTGATGCTGCGGGCGAAATTGTCCAAGTTGGCCCAAAGGTGACCAGATTTACTACTGGACAACGGGTTTCACCTATCTTTCATTTGACACACCTCTATGGTTCTGTGAAGGATTCAGACATTCAAAATCAACTGGGCGGAACCTATGACGGGGTCTTTCGCGAGTACGCTGTCTTCAATGAGCATGGTTGCGTGGAGATTCCATCCACCTTGTCTTACCTTGAAGCTGCAACTCTACCTTGTGCTGCACTTACAGCGTGGAATGCCCTTTATGGTGGTCCTAAAACGTTGAAGCCGGGCGATGTGGTTCTCACGCAAGGCAGCGGCGGTGTTAGCATATTTGCTCTTCAGTTCGCAAAGCTCGGGGGCGCACAAGTCATCTCGACAACTAGCAGTGTGGAGAAGGGTGCAAAGCTGCGAGAAATAGGCGCAGATGTGATAATAAATTATGCCGAGGATAGCGAATGGGGCCAGACGGCCAAACGCCAATCGCACCGAAAGAGAGGAGCTGATTTTGTGGTCGAGATCGCCAATACTATGGCTCAATCTTCCCAAGCAGTTGCTAACGATGGATGTATTGCAACCATTGGAAGAAGAGGGGGATCTGAAGGAGGGGCGGGCACCTCTCATAGCTCCGTGTTAGCGACTGTTCGAAGAATTTTGGTTGGCAGTAGACAACTTCAAGAGGATATGAATGCTGCCATTGAAGTAAGCCACCTTAAGCCACAGATTGATGGTCGTTCATTCAAGTTCTATGAACTTAAGCAGGCATTTGATTATTTCCAGAAGGGAAGCCACTTTGGTAAGGTGGTCGTGGACTTCGACTGATTGGCGATCGTTTGAGTGACAATACAAGAAACTCAGATGCTATGGGTGTCCAGAGCTCAGATACCTCTCAAAAGCTCAATAACACTTCAATATGCTATATCGTCTGATCAAATATCTGGACAAGCGTAGGCTATAAGGGGTTAGCCAGGAATGCCCGATGCCAAATACAGACTGCGATATTTGGTACCGAGTACTGATCACGAAACAAAACTCACTGACAAGGCCTTTCCTACAATCCTGACCCTAAATGCAAAAGCAGGGCAATGTATACCGTCAGTACTGGGGCACGTGAGTAATGGAAGAGCAACGTTGACAGATTGCTAACGCTCCTTATTGTGCTTGTTTTGGAACAAGCCTTCTAGTAGAATTGTCTAGGCCCTGGTTCCTGACCTAGTAGATTATATACATAGGTGCAAAACTGGGGTATTCTTACTATGCCTTTACTAGATCATTAATTTACTATATCTCCGAATTAGGTTTGTTGAGTCATGTTATTGGGGGTTGAAAGAGTACGCCTCTGTATACCTATATGGAAAGTAATAACAATCACTACTGTAATAACTTTGAACTCTGAGATGGTATAGGGGATGGTCTGGTAGAATTACCGGTGCCAGCGTGGCTTCTTATCAAGTCTCAGAATATGAAAAAACCAGATAATACTATAATATCATTAAATGAATACTTATTATTACATGCATTTCTACTGATATTATCTACAGTTTAGTTCATATAGTTAGCAGTAAAGATTCTTCTGAATTATACTAGAAATAATAAGATATCAATAGGAATACATAATAGAAAAACAATATGCAAGAATATATATATCTAGGTATAACTTTATAGAGTTGGGGTAGAGAGAATGAGTGTTCAGGTAAAGAAAACCAAAAAGAAATGAAAAGAAAGTAAGTATATTGAATGTATTAAATTACAAAAAATAGGTGAATATCAATATATAATATGAAAGATTTGCTAGTAATTATTTACCGAACTACTAACCTCCCAGCGTGTGGCTTAAGTACGGCTGAGCGGACGGGAAGCCCTGTTTCCCACACCCCGTGATTGTATGTACTAGTTTACGTTCTTTTATAATATATATCGCAACAGCCTGGAATCGTTGTTCATCAGGTATCGGGGGGACTGAAACATTAATAGGTGTCGATCTCATTGTATTAACCATGAGACAGTGCGGTCGTAGAGTTATCCTTCCCGGAATCACATTCCATAGTCAAATGCACAAGTGAGATCTCATCATGCTGGCGATGACTGCGGCCTGAGGCCTGAATGGGATACAATCTTCCGCTAGTAGTATGGGACTTGGCGGTGGTAGAGAACAGTCTTGGGAAGATCAGATCGATGACTGGCTTGGTGCTCGGCAAACTCGCGGCAATGATGGAGATAGCCACTTCGATACCCGACGACACGGACACGCCGAATGTGCTCCAGCTTGGATCGGTGCTCTCATAAAGCTTGATGATGTACACCATTCGAACAATGCTGGCAATGCAGGCACTTCGGGGCAACCTGTTAGTCGTTTATGTTCTATAACTCGGTCCGGTGGTACTCTTACAACGTTCCCAAGGATAATAGCCCGATGACTACCATGCGCTTCATTGGCCCAATTTGCAAGCCTACTCTCGTGAGTATGTGCCGTACGGCCCTCTCAGGCCATCAACCGTCTCTCTGGTGTACAAACGCACCTAAAATAGTCCGAATTGGTAAAGCTAAGATCCACAGATCCGTCACCAGTGATAATGCGGCAGTGGTATACCAAAATGGAATAGATGCGAAACACTTATAGTGGTCGTATTTTTGGGGATCGTAAACCGCATCCACTGGAGAGCATTGGAAGATGGTGGCAAGGATAATGGCGATGCTCATGGCGGCGATGAAAGCGATGGTGCCTAGAGTGATGTTGCGAAGATTCGGGAAGAGGCGCAGGTATAATAGGCAGATTGACGTCTTGATCAGGCCAGTAATGAGGGTGTATATTATGTGAGTGACGTAGCGAATCTACAGGCAATCACGCCGTTGGTCAGAAACTAGGTTGGCATTGGGAGGGGTGGAAATAGATCTGAGCAAGCGGGCGCACCTTGGCTGCTGGTAACGCATCGGCCTTCGGAAGAATGCCATCATGTTTCCCTGTGCCATATTTGACTCCTAGCAGGATATCCGACATCAGTTTCAATACTGCTATCTGGACTGTATGTACATACCAAGACCTGCAATAGCAACATTCAAAATGGCCGTGACCGTGGCGAGCATCATTGTCCAGTCATCCAAGCCTAGCCGCTTCACAATCGCAGCCCGGGATATGAATCGCAGGACAACGATGGCCGCAGCGAACCCGGTCACGGTACCATTGATGATGACAATCAAGGGCCCACGGTCCTCACTCTAAGCCGGCAATCAGTATGAGCACCGTGCACAAGCTTCGAGCACTTGCCTCCGAGCGTACTGCAAAGCTTTGCTGCATGGTGAGGCCGTAGAGCCCAGCACAGATGGGCTCATCGTGAGATGAGAACGAGACTTTATCGCTGGACACACACTGCGCGCGGCCGAAAAAGGGGCATAACTGTCTGATCCCACTAAACATCAAGTAGAAGCTGCCCTAGGGCCCTTGGCGACAGGGATATCCGATGGCTCATTACCACCATAATACTCGTCTTTTTGGCCAATGCCCAAAGAACCGTAATCAACGCTACTTAAATAGCGTATTCCGTCATAAAAGCTCAACAGATAGGTTCAGGATTGGAATGTCCGACTAAGGGCCTTGGCAGGACCCATGCCTATACCCGGCCAACGTTGTTTAAGCATTGGTCGATGTCACTGGCGAGATCAGCCCATTAACGCCCGGTCCAATATGTGTCAAACCGCTAACAGTGCCGGCGGCCGATCGGCTTCTCGATAGTCGGCAACCGGTTGACTTGGCAGCCTAGCGTAGGGCACAAATTTCCATCCGGAAACTAAACTTCAACCGAGATTCCGGGCTATCCGTCCTTTAAGATCCCCTGAAATCGTAGAGGGTCTTTCTTTTATCAAATATTCGTTTTCATATCCCTGTCGTTACTTCTGCCCTTCATGCCGGGCATCAGATCTCTGTTACTTGGCGTGTTGTCGGCATGGGTGGTCGCCGGGCATAACCTTCGGGCGAACAACATCAGCACAGGCTACCGGATCGATGTTCACTCTCATGTCATTCCTCCGGTTTGGAGAGAGGCCCTGATTGCTGCTGGCTACCCTGTGAAAAATGGAACGATGTATACTGACGATTTCCCGGTGCCCGACTGGACGCTGGAATCACACCTGGCCACGATGGACACCTTGGGCATCAACTTTTCGACCATCAGCGTGAGTGCTCCCGGGGTCTACTTCCTCAATGATCCTAAGGAGGCACATGCACTCGCCCGCACCGTCAATCTTGCCATGCATAATTACACCCAGGCTCACCCGACTCGACTGGGGGCGCTTTGCCTGTTGCCCCTTCCGCATGTGGAAGAATCGGTAGCCGAACTGAAGGTAGGTTGATTGCTCGACATTAGTACAATCCTGGCTAATAGATCTATTAGTTTTGCCTCGATACGCTCAAGTTCCCCGGTGTGGGCATGTATACTAACGCCAACGGTACCTACCTTGGCGACTCGACTCTCAGTCCCGTATTTTCAGTTTTGAATGAGAGACAGGCCACCGTGTTTGTTCATCCAGCAGCTCCGGGATGTCAGTCTGTGAGCTTGGGCTACCCGTTCCCTTTGACGGAGTACCCGTTTGACAGCGTGCGGGCGATGGAGAATCTGTTGTTGACTGGCCAGCGCGCTAAGAACCCCGATCTCAAGATGATATTTGCCCACGGCGGGGGCGCAATGCCCTATCTGGCCAGCCGTATTGCTGGAATGGCGTCCATGTCGTTGCTGGGGTCTCTAAATATGACCAAGTCCCTGGCGGAGCTTGCAGGTTATTACTTTGACACGGCCTCTGCCACCTCAGCAATTCAACTCGCTGCCATGAAAAGCTTCATTGGGGTGGACCAGATTCTGACTGGAACAGATTGTGAGTCACCCTAGTTTTCCTGCAGTTTTGCATCCCATCGATAAGGAGTCTAATGATGTCTCAGACCCGTATGTTCCCCTTTCACAGAGCGAGGCCGCGCTCCCTGCCATTCAGAACAACGGCGAATTCACTGATGCCGAGATGGCGCGCATCAACCACCAGAATGCGCTTCAACTGTTTCCTCGGGTTGCCAAGGTGTTGGGCTATTGAAGCCCCAGTAGTCCAGCACAGTTCTGGGACTGTCTCTTTGTCGCCTGGTAGCCTGAGTCTGCAGTCCAATAGATGATTCCGATAGTCTAGTGTGCCACACCCAGTGGTAATGCCGTCTTTTCCGACTGGACTCGGCGATTTGGGTCAATTCCATACATGAGATTGTGGAAGTTCGATGCAAGAAACCGGAGGCTATCGGGCGAAGATGTCAGAAATTTCCCCACAGTATATATTTCTATCGCCGGACAGTGTAGGGTCGATAATTGTAGCACTCAATCTCGGGCCTAAACGTGTCCAATAATACTCAAATGAAGGATTGGCACTCAATTTCACTTGAAGAGATTTCTTGACCCAGAGAATGCGGCAACACTGCCAGTGAACTTCCCCAGCAATACAGCACATAAGTTAGGTGTTATTGGGTGTGAACCGGGCGTTTCCCCAGCTCGACCTAGTGAGTCCGGGTAGACTGCTAGCCATATAGTATCGATCTCTTTCGGATAGTACCCCCATCCCGCGGTCGCACCTGCGAGTGATTCCTCAACCGGAAAGCCACAATTGGTGGGGATGGATGGCAGTCAGACCGCATGTCCTGAATAAGGCAGACCCTATGGGGCAGCGATAATCCGGGGTAATCGAGAGGAAGACCTCTCCACGTACAGTTAATTCCGACCCTCAATGCGAAGTGGAAACCCCCTCGATCCTTGTTCCCATCCAGCTCGGCCAGAGGATATCACGAAACGAGAGGAGCACGTAAACTGCATCGGTAAGTCAACTGACAGTGAGGTAGCGGTGGTGCTCCATATGGCCGTGCATATTCTGCGATTTTCTTTCCTATCAAACGACTTGCACTGTGATCCCAACTGGCAGTCAATGGCTCGACCTGAAAGAAGGATCCTCGAGATTGTAGTGTGTGTCTTACTCCAGATGTCAGCCCAAAGGGCTTACCTCCGCCATCTCGAATAACACTTGAAATCAAAATCTTGTCACTACACGATAGTTGCAGATTCAACCATGAATTATGTGGCGTCTTTGTTGCTGGTCTTACAACGAGGGGACCCTGGATGATTGCTTTCCGTCGCTTTCCGCTCGGGTCACGGCTGGGCCTCCCGTAACACAGTAGGTCGGCGAGATGCCACCAACCACGTAGCATACCTTGCTGAAGGTTTTGGTGAGGCCAATTACAAGTGAGTGTCAGCAACAACTTGCAGCTTTAGACGGGTGGATCTCCCCGCTGTGGGTCGGTCAGCACTTATTCCCCCTCACGGAATTAACGGGGATACAATAGTGATGCCACATCGGATGACACCCGAGGCACAATGAAGGAACTTCGTATTCCCAAAGTTAACGGCGGCGTCTACCCTGGTGCTCAGATGCATTGATCTGACTGTGAGTCCAACTTGATGTTCCATTGATTATTGTTTACAGTCAATGGATCGGGGATACGAGTTCGACGATATACCCGATGACATCAAGCTCCGATTTACCAAAAGCGGCATCTGGTGGAGACTCCGCGTCATGATCACCGTATCCCCATGCCTCCTACAACTTCGGGCCTGGAGGTAATCGGAGTTTAAGTCTATCGCCGCCAATTCTGAAGACATATATAGACCACATCTTCCTCAGACATCACTGAAAGCACAATCGTCCTTACACGCTAATCATCTATCATCATGTCTCTCTTCGCCCCCGCCCCCAAGCCCGCCAGCCGTCTCGGCTACCACCGTGTATTGGCACCCTCTGCTGGTGTCAAGGTCTCCCCATTGTGTCTGGGAGCTATGAACTTTGGAGACTCATGGTATGGCATCTGTACTATCTTGGTGTGACTGGTCAACTAACCAGGTTTCTGCCGGTTTCCAGGAAGCAATTCATGGGAGAATGCAACAAGGAGCAGTCCTTTGCCCTGCTAGATGAATTTTACAGACTCGGAGGCAACTTCATCGACACGTATGTCATCACTACAAATTACATCGCTGTAAGATGCTGATCATTTCTTAAAGGGCCAACAACTATCAGTTCGAAGAATCTGAGAAATGGATCGGAGAGTGGATGGCTGCTCGCGGGAACCGCGACCAGATGGTGTATGTAACAGTATCTTCTCGTACTTGCACTTTGAACTAGGAACTGACCATATTAGCATCGCAACCAAATACACAACAGGCTTCCGCACCGCCCACCGCGACACCGAGCCTCTCCAATCCAACTTCGTCGGCAACTCCATGAAGAGCATGCGGGTCTCCGTCGAGCACAGCCTCAAGAAGCTCCAGACTGACTACATTGACCTCCTGTACCTGCACTGGTGGGACTTTACTTCCTCCGTGGAAGAGGTCATGCACGGACTCAACAATCTGGTCGCATCGGGCAAGGTTCTCTACCTCGGTGTCTCCGACACCCCCGCCTGGGTTGTCGTCAAGGCCAACGACTACGCTCGAGCCCACGGCCTCCGTCCCTTCTCCGTGTACCAAGGCCGATGGAACGCCGGATTCAGAGACCTCGAACGAGAGGTTATTCCCATGTGCAGAGACCAAGGAATGGCGATTGCTCCCTGGGCGCCGCTCGGGGCGGGCAAATTCAAGTCTGCCGAGGCGCGTAAGAGCGACGCCGGATCTGGCAGCGCACGTGGCGCTGAATTGAGCGAGACTGATATCAAGGTCTCGGATGCGTTGGAGAAGGTTGCGAACAGGAAGAACACGACTTTGCATGCTATTGTGAGATCCTGATCCCATTACGATTATGCGCTGGAAGCAAACTAATAAGACTCATGAACAGGCCCTCGCTTACGTCATGCACAAGACACCTAACGTGTTCCCCATCATCGGTCAACGCAAGATTGAGCATCTTCAAGCCAACGTGGAGGCTTTGAGCGTGAGCCTCTCCGATGAGGACCTCGATGAGATTGATAGTGCATCTTCGTTCGATGTCGGGTTCCCGATGAACTTCATTTTCCGTGACTCTTACTCTTCGCGCAACACGGCTGCCGATGTCTGGTTGACCAAGGCTTCGGCCCTTATTGATGCGCCTCCCCACGCGTCGCCTGTGCTGCCTCGTCAGGAATAGATTACTGTCTAATAGTTACCGATAATTGATATTGAAGTCAATCCCACATGACTAATAATTAACCCAAAGCCAAGCTAATACCTGATTGGCCGGAATGAAGTTGTCGCTGCTCTTGCCTCTATCATCATCCGTAGTTCAGTCTGTTTGAGTTCCCCGCACATAGTCGTTTTCATCAATTTTAGCTTTCCTCTAGTCCGCGGCCCCTTTCACTCCGACATCGACCACTGCTCCTTCTCGATACTACCATGCCTTCGCGCTGGTTTGCTCAAGGCGAGGTCGCCCCTGGTACTACCATCCGACTTAGAATAGCCAAGTGGGTGATCCATGAGATAGCTAGTGAGCACTGCTTCCAGCTTAACGAGGACGATCTGGGGGACAGACATGACCCATCCTTTGCCTGTACTCGTCTCATCTGCGAGGCACGTGGACCCAATGGGCCTGTTCAAGGCCATATGCGTTATTATAAGCAGATCCCCATTGAAGGAACGGAAGCCGAGCCTCCTTTCATACGAGCCAAGCAAGCAGAATCCTTTAGTCCACCGGACCTAGTGTACCTACGCACTTTGACCCAGAAGGGATCAACCATCACCCCCCGTCTGCTGGACAGCAAAGAAGACAAGCAGGATAATACTGGCTTTGTTCCCGGTGGATTCGTCATTTGGGTTGTGTGGGCAGTGGTACCAGGACTCCAACTGGGTAATGATATCGGCTCTGCACCATTCTGGGGGTTGAGTCGGAAAGAGCGGGATGCAGTGCGTCAAGCATTCAAAGACACTATCAAGTTTGTCATCCTAATGCCTTTCCTGTTCGCTCAATTTGACTGATGTATCGGAACAGCAAGCTTGACAACTGGGGACATTTACCTTACCCTGAACAAGCAAAGAACCTTGTGTGGGATTCAACCACGGGAAGTTTGTGAGTCCAGCAGTCCGGCACTTTATTTTTTATACTAAGTCTGTATTCTTACGTAGGTATTATGTTGGATTCCTCCTCACCTGCAAGGCCAATTCACGAGCTTTCTGGTCTCCCGCCAGATGGGCAGGTTGGGGTCTGGCAAGGCCGCCAAGGGAATGTCGAAATTGGGATAGAATCACAGAGGGATGGGAGCTCTAGGGTATCCTATTAGTTGCTGGGCTATTGCCAGGTCGGAAACTGGATGCCCTCGGGGATGGCCATCATTTCGGTTTCAATCATCGTATTCGGACGTCCACCTATAAGCAGGGAATCAATGTGTGTTAGGATGGTAGAAATATATTGCAGGTGTTGTAAAAGAACGAACTTGATTTGAATCGAATTGCACTAGGTCCTTTCTTTCCTTGCAGTCGCTAGAACAAAAGGGTCCCACCGCACTGCTAGTCCACTCGTCTCCTTCTAATTGCTAAGAGCACATTTAAGAGGCACCGGAAGGGTGCGTAGAAGGGTGATTTTGCAGCGCTGTGAAAACTCAGAGGCGAGACTGAGAGAATTGGAGCAGTAACATCCTCGCATTTTCCGTTCGGAGGGCGCTGGCTACCCCGCTCATTATACCCATGCCACCTCGTTCCTAATGCGTGCACGGGGGCTCTCTTGAGTTAATCAAAGCATCGGCGTGAGCACATGGAGAGGGTAGGATCTGAGGGTGAGCGTTGCTGTCGATGGTTGAGCGAATCACCACGGATAGGCAAGGAAGACTTCAAAGGAGATGGGCGAGTAACATGACCCATCCGGCTTACCCCTCAGTACCTAAAAAGAATCAAGTATAGACTTTTGTTCTCAAAATTACTAGAGCTACAAATGTTGAGGTTTGGTCATGGACACACCCACTCCGGTGGATGTGAGTGGTCCACCGGACTACGGCAAAGCATCGCATTTGTTCAGACAACGAAGGTTCATGAATGATCAGCATATCAGTCTAGATTTTTTTTATCTTTTCTTCCTCTAGCAACATACACTTCTTAATATGTATGTGTAGGCAACTAGTCCAAATTGAAGAAACTTGCAGCAATATTGGAAGGATAGTATGCCCCTCGGAACCATCGAGCACAGGTTTTCTTTGCGCATGACAGTGATCAAACATGATCAGAATCTTATATATGTTCGCAGAAAATGGACGAATGAGAATTCTGTATTCATAAACACACACTAGAAATGTGTAGTTTTCCTCCCATGATGGTGGCCTCATGGTACACCTTCATGGTTACTTGATCCTCAATCGCGATGCTGAATAATCCGGAACATTGAACCTCCGGTATGACGGCAATAATCTGGATTGGATACAACCCATCAGATATTCCGCCTTGCAGGGCCTTATGAAATTATCCGCTATGCCGGATCATATTCTTTTAGAGCCTGGAGCCTCTCGACGAGAAATGCAAGATAAGGATCTCATTTCTACAAGACATACCCAGTTTAAACCATCGCGCAGCCGTCGATATGCCTGCGATCGATGTCGTAGACAGAAGCTGAAGGTCAATACCCAATGGATGCTCCCAAAGAATGAGACATCTCTTGCTTATAAGGTTTAGTGTGACTTTGAGAAGCCGTGCTCTCTGTGTGTAAGGTCCAACTTTGCATGTGAGACCACGCCGACACCTTTGCGGTATGATATTCTTCGCCGATACTTCTAGCGCAGGCCAAATGATACGGAAGGCTGATTCAACTGTAGAAAGTCTAAACGATCTGCCAATACTACAGAGGAGCGGCGCAGAAACACACGTCGCATACAGCATGGTGTGTCCAGATCATCAAGTCCAAGCCTTCGCAGCCCGGATACTCCAAGAAATGTGGCCCGACTCAGCACGAACTTCCATGGAGGAACTGATGAGGGGTCGAGATTACTACCGGAACCGCACAGGTACGCCCAATCATCTGCGGTAGAGTTGACGGATCAGGTACACACCTACCATTACATAGCCTAACATTGTGGGATATATACATTAACCTGAATACTAGCTCTTTCACATCCATGATCATGGAGCAGAACCATCTCCTGCTCACAGTGATACCTCTGCCCTCCCCGGTGGTCCTTTTCTGAGCAGTCGAATTACCGGCAATAGGAGTCGAGAAGAAAACACTAGTTTTGCCGCCTACTTCCCTGGTTTAGTCCTTCCATCCCGGTCGGTGTGTGACTTTCTGCTCCAGTCGTATTGGAAGTCTGTACACTGGTTTATGTTGATATTTCACGCTCCGTCGTTTGAACATGAGTATAGTCAAATGCTTGACAGTCAGTCTGTCAGCCCTCGGCAGAGAGGTACGGCAGTTCTAATGTTGATGGTTCTCGCTCTGGGCGCCAGATATGCTTCTGACGAGCAAATCTCAAGAATTGATATATCCAGACACGACGTTACCTCTTTGCAGGAGACCATGTTGAGTCATATTCGGTCGCAATTCTTTGATGTGTTAGACACCGGGGGTGTCGAATGTGTACAGCTTTGCATTCTGCTGAGCACTTACCATCTATACAACGGTAAACCGAACTTGGCAATGCCCATATTGGGCGCAGGGATCCGGAGTGCCCAGACCCAGGGACTTCACAAGGAGAGCCTCTGGGGTCCTGCAACTGATATCGTTTTGGAAATCCGCAAGCGGACTTGGTGGGCCTTATATGCTCTCGAGAGGTAACGATAACCTAGTCTGGTGCACATGTTTCTTGGCTAATATCCCAAAAGGTTTGCATCGATTACCTATGGCAGGCCATCATTGATCAATGACGCACATTGCTCCGTGAGCATGCCACGGGACATGGATGATATATCAACAGTCCACCCATTGATGAGCTTAGCTGTCGATAGTTCTGCGAACTCCCAAGTGGCGTCTACTTTGGGAACTTACCAACGACACAAATTTAGACTCTATTCAATTGCTGGCCCCATCATCAGCGATATCTATGATCTCAACGCATCAAACCTGGAGGCTGTGATGATGCAAGCTGCAGAAATCAACACAAAACTGGTTGAATGGTTCGATGGACTGCCTGTAGAGTTAAGGATTGAGCGTCATGTCCGCCTGGACACCTCCCATTTGACGAGTGCCGAAACTGAGGTCTGTCAACTGTTTCAGCTGCAGGCACTGGTTCTCCAATTAGCATATGACAATATCCAGATCGTGCTACACCGTCCGTTTGTTCGATATACCCGCCGTCTGCCACTTTCACCAAGTTGGCGCAACTCCGATGCGCGCCCGACTAGCTTTGAACAGTGCAAGCATTGTGCTAGGCGCACCTGTAGCATATTGCCGCGGTATTCTAAGGTTCTCCTTGCGGCCCAAAGTACACATGCAGCAGCGTATATCGCCATTCAGAATTTCACCGCCGGTGTCACTTTGGGCATGGTGGCTCTGTCTAACCCGGGCTCGGAACAATCTTTGGATGCTAAAAGAGGTGTTGCGAACTCAATAACTCTACAAAAGACACTTGCGGCATCATCTGTTGTGTCTTCACAAACGGTCAGGGTCCTAGAAGGACTGTTCCGCCTCATATTTAAACGTGAGATGCAAGCTTTACTTGATAACTCACCTCTTCATATGAACAGTCCAAGTCCGAAAAACAGCTTGCCATTTTCAACAAACGATTATCACCACGAGACGTACCAAGATACCAATCAGCTGAATCCCCACGCGAGCGACTCATTCAATCAACCATTCGGAAGTCAAAAGAACACCCAACTTCGGTCCAGAAACCAAGGTGCCCTGAATGTTTCTCAGGATAACTCAGAAGCGCGCACCGTGATCGACCATAACGATAGTCAGGGTGTTACTACTCTGCCATGTTACCCCGAGATTGACAGGGCACTCGAGGCTGTACAACAAGGTCTGTTTTCCTGCCCCAAGCAATGAGCCGTCTCACGTTTGTCATATGTGCTCGATCAGCAATATCCTGCACTGAAACCGCACGATTCTAGAGTACTAATCAATTCTACAGTAATGTGGGAAAATTGCGATACAATGGCACATGCAAGCAGTCGTGCTATGGATACGACTAGCTCGAGCTTCGCTGATCCCGGACAACAGACCTTAGCGACCGACTTCATCGAGCTAGACAATGCATTCCAACCTACGACTTTGACGGCATCAGTAGCCGACCCCGCCAGCCACGATCTAAACACCCTACACAACTCGCTCATTGGCCAGAGCTGGGTATGGAATCAGACAGATCTCTTTCAGTGACAGAACTTTATAATATTTTTTTGATGATATTCCTTTCAATCCTCTGCGCCTGAGCTTTACGTTTCTAAAAGATATCGGCTTATCAACGTATATACAAATGCTGCAACAATGACACATATACAAAAGTTCTCAACGAACAAATTGATCGACATACTCCGCCCCAAGCCCGACCTTCTCATAATGCGCCCTCGCACTAGCCAACTTCGAAAACACATCCTCCACGCCCAGCGGGTTTCCCACCGGATCAACGTAAATGTATGCACCGGTAACATGAAACAAAGTAACCATTTCCTCGACCCCATCCGGGACCTCCAGCGTGTGAATGTCGCCCGGAGGCTCGAAAGCATGACTACCTTCGGTTGCCCACCACGGATGCTCAAGATAGTGCCATTTTCCTTTTAGAACAGTTGCGTGGACGGGTCCCGTATGGCGGTGGCGCGACAAGATGCCGGAGCGACGAACACGAAGTAGATTGACGAAATAGCCTTGTGTGACGTTGAATAGTATTGGACGGAACCAGACGTCTGGCGCTTGGGGAACCCATAGTCTTTCTTCGAAGTCGAGGTTCACGATATTTGGTATGACGAGGTCCTCTGGGACATTCGGGAGGGGGGCTCCCTGGTAGGGAACGGCTGTCGCTTTGGGTCGGTCGGTGGTCGATGCGGATGTCATGTTGGTGGTTTGAATGATGGCGTAGAGAAGGGATCGGATATGTTTATAGTGGGATGAGGGAACTAAGGACAGCAAGATATGTCAAGCCTCACCCTTTATATACTCTGCAATTTGTAAACCGGACCCTGAAAAACACCTTGTTTTTATTAGTTAATCGGGTGTGGTACGAGACAGTTGAACGTTCTCGTTGGTTGCCCTTGTCCGGTGGGAGCTAGAATGTATGGTGATGTCCGAGTCCGGTGGAGGTTTTAGCGGCTTCGGCTCAACCTCGGGTTGACATTCAGAGTCTCGTGCGAACGCAAAGCTGCAAGTAAGACAATCACTGTGTGTACCGTTATGTTGCAAACCATTTGTTGCACTCCTCTCATTACTACGTCATGGAATTTGGCAGGGGATTACTGTGCGTACCTGTTCTTGAAGTACCAAGCAATGTAGCCCGCAACCAATGCTCTCATTGTCCGTCGAATCGATATTTCAGATTACTCCTCTCTTTCCAGGCGTTGATCTCTAACTCAGTCTCGATTTGTATGAGCATTATACTAAGATATTTGTAAAATAAGATGAGTGTATTGATTCCTGCATTATGTGCAAAATCCATTGAATAAATATTTACTTGCGAATAAGTATCCACGGGCGGTTGTTACGGATGGCTTCTCGTTGCTGCTACGGTTTCCGAACGGAACATTTAAATTTTTTCATACATGATTAGCAGCCGAGATTATCACAAACTACTTTATATCCCACGGCCGCCATCAACCTCCAAGCATACCCCCGTCAGATAAGCCGCCTCATCACTTGCCAAAAAGGCTACCGTGTTGGCCACATCACTGGGTTGGCATACACGACCCAGCGGTATGCTGCTTAGCATTTTCGCCTCTGCCTCTTCACTAGAGTTGTGACCCAGGAAAAGCGGCATCATGGCTGTATCCCCAACAGATGGGCAGACGGCATTCACACGAATGTTATGCGGTGCCCATTCGATGGCAAGTCCCTTTGTAGCCTATAATATCCGAATCATGCCTATTAGCCATTTTCTGCGATATCAGTACCGGAGATGTAGGAAATTCTTACCGTATTAACCGCGCCTTTGCTTGCTCCATACCACACTAAATTGGGTCGGGGTCGAGCACCACTAGCACTGGAGGTGTTGATGAAAAGCCCAGCCCTCTTCTCTTTCAGAAAGTAGGGAATGATCGTCTTGGTGCTGAGGTGAATTTGCTTCACGTTGACGCGGAAGACTCGCTCCCATTCCTCGTCACTGAGCTCAATGGACGGCTGTGCTTTGTGTAATACACCAGCATTGTTGACAACTATATCCAAGTGTTCATAAACAGATAAAGCTTGTTCGAGAGCTTTCTGCCAATCGTCCAGAGAGGTCACATCTCCTCGAACATAGGTTATGTTGTTCGAAAAGTCACCTTGGAACTCTTCCGGCGGCTCGATAATATCGAGAACTAGAACCCGGGCACCTTCGGCAATAAACTTGATCACAATTGCTTTGCCAAATCCCTGTGCTCCGCCTGTGATTAGAGCTGTCTTACCCTGAAGTCTCTGGGCGGTGACATGTGTGGGCGTGGTGCCTGTCATTTTCAATGAATTTTGAACACTTTTGTTGCTGGTGAACCGTCATGGCATTAAAGTGCTTGGGAGATAGTATTTAACATTCACGATAGTTATGCTCTGTTACTGCACTTTTTGGTGGGGAGGTACTCGTTCATCCTCCGAGTCCTGAAATCCGGTGGTAATGATGTCCGGGTACGCTCCGGTGGACATCCGGTGGACATGTCCTCGGACAACCCTAGAAGAATTCTGAACATCAGGGTATAAGAAATAGACAGTACTTCTGTTCGACTTGTCTGGAGTAGGGTTCATTCATGAATGAATAAAGGAAGTACAAGCCACCAATAATTCCGTTTGCCGGATCTGGTAGAAATCTATGTCCACGATATTGCAGAGCATAGTGAAAGCATACATTCATAAGTAGCTATAGGCACTTATATATAACCGCTAGTACTGAAGAACTTTTACCCCATCCCTCACTTAAGTACCCGCCCGTTATAGAAACCTCGAACAGGCACTGCTCATTTATTAGATCGTCAAGGTTTAAAATCATAAGTCCTTATGGCAATTTCTCAGTGGGTTCTCAAAATATATGTAAGTTACATAGTAAATATAAATTTACGCCTTGTATATATATAGTAACTCCGATGAAAATCAATACACATTGGGGGACTGTTGGCGGAGAACAACGTCTAGTGGCAGAATAATTGGATGGGCAAGCGGTCAGACAGATGAAAAAGGGGCAACACAGGTCTCGTGTCCACACCTCGGTTCCTTTTCCTCCTTCCACTTCCACAACTAGGGATATCACAGCTAGCATACATGTACATGCCAAGTCGATGACCGAATTGCTTCCTAGTTAGAGGAGATTGACGATCTCACAAATCATCTCGGGCAGGTAACCGACACGTGAGAAGTTACTCTTCGACAACACGCCAAGTCCTGAGTTGACCCAAATTTGCGACATGAATTTGGATGAAAATATGACCTGTCGACAATCGCAGTCGATTAAGGTTGATTCCGCTACGGATATTCCCTGATTAGGAAGGAAGCTAAGCAATAAGGTTGGGAAACGATGATATCGCAAGTACCAACGTGCATGCTCAAAATATGGAATGAAGATGTATCCGATTATGCACGCTTTGAAATCCCAGCCTCGGCTCCTGTTACTCTGATCTGTCTGCGTAATCAGAGGCTTCCAGCTTGAGCTGTCCCATTTCGTCACACCCGGGCCTCCAAACCCGGGAGATGCCTTTCCGGGCCGAGTTAGAGTCTGCCCCATGATATGTGGCAATCTGTGCCGTGCATCTGGGTAGAACGTTGTCTTCCTGTGGGAGAAAGTGTGGGTTGCTGCAAGTTCATAATCCAGGTTTATTGCCTGGTAATCATAGCAGCTTTAAGCTTATCGACATCACTGAAGCACCAGTCAAGTGGATCTACCCCATGTAAGACTTTGACTTCTGCTGAAGATGATCGATATTTCCTTAAAGAGACATCGTCGCCCTCCAATGGCCACTTGTAGCAGAGCACCACTGTAATTGAGCAAAGACCGAGAGATAATCCCCCTCGACCAGTCTATTTCATGTCCATAAATGGGTTAATATAAGGGATAGATTAACTGCCGGGTAAATAACGGCAAATTTGATTCCGGAGAATTTTGAGTTTGGGTTATCAACTTGAAACAACCGTTTGCGCCGGGGCTCTGGAAAGAAGGAGACCCGCCTGGTCCTGTCCACTTATCTCTCATTCTATCCACGTTGTAAGCGGGACTAGCTCAAGTCTTCTAGGTTTCACTCCCAGGAGCCAATTTGTGTCACGATCATGAGCTGGCCAGGTTCACCAACCGAATTCTTTCTTTGCAAGCCAAAGGTAACCACGATTCGGTGTTCAGTAATTAGGTCGAAGCTCTGGATGCTTAACCCCTGAGCGGTGTAACTTAGCTTCCGTTGATCGCTTCAGCTGGCGGCCGGTAAACACCCACTGAAGGATTCGTGTCTCACACGTTACTTCAGCCGAGCGTTTCAAAGAGGCGCGGATGACTTTGACAATTAAAGCTTCAATATTGTTTCCTATTTATCCACAGTAATTGGGAGATGAACGAAAAATCCCGAGGCTGTGGGACAGGTATTATAGGCCACTCATAAATCAAGTTCAAAGTACAAGGGCATACCTATTCGACTGCAGTTGGATAGATGCATGAGCCTGTCAGAGTCAGATCGATCCGCAACATGGATGGGTCCCGCTGGGATCTGCTCCGCTTGGCTCACCCCTGTCATTCTTCCAAAAATATGGGTCTGCCTGCTCCTTGCAGGTAGATCAACTTTTTTTCCGTTGACGATCATGTTCGACTTTTTGTTTGCGCAAGCACTACTAGTCTGCCCACTTAGGAGACTTCACATTAATTGGTCTAGTTGATGGGCCGCACGGATGACGATGTAAATAAAAGCGCGCTGGAGCTCACCTGCCAGATTTTCGCACAGCAGCAGCAGCCGGCATGCGATCAATGGGTGTCAATCACCCAGTCACTCCCTACCAACATGGGCTCCTCGATGCCTCTTGTCGGCCATAGTCTGGCCATCTTTATCTGTGCGGCGGTAATGATGAGCGTTAGTATTATGGCGGTCGCGTTGCGCACTTTTGTTCGTATTTATACGGTTCGGGCTTTTGGGTGGGATGACGCTCTGATGGTTATCGCACTGGTGGGATTCCTGATCTTCTCACTAACACATCAGTGGCTGATATTCAATTAGGCTTTGTTCATAGCCCTGGATGCATGTTGGATGGTTGCATCAAAGCGAGGGGTTGGCCATAAGAACGAGGACTTTACTGATTATAATACAATGGAGCAGGCACTTCTGGTAGGTCTATTTTCTTTTCTACCAACTCGCAAGTGAACCCATAACCATCCCGATATAACTAACCATTATTAGTGGTGGTGGCTATGTCAAATGCTCTATAGTTGGTCTGCCGCTATCACCAAAATATCAATCGCTATTGCCCTACTCAGACTAGCTGTGCACAAAGCTCACCGCATTGTTTTGTGGACGGTGACTGGTGTTGTAATAATCGCTGGAATCATGATTTGGCTAGTGTTCCTCGCCGGCTGCCAACCAGTCTCTTATTTCTGGTCGCATGTGAATGGAAATCATGAAGGATCATGCATACGTCGGCAGATACTGTTGGATGTTGGCTATCTCTATAGTTTCCTGATTGTGCTGTCCGATGTGACTCTCGGGATCATGCCTGCCGTTCTGATCTGGCACCTGCAAATGGACCGCCGGACAAAGATTGCATTAGCGGGAGTCCTCAGCCTAGGAGCCCTGTACGTGCACTATATCTTTGGCAACTTGGAAAGGAAAGATGCTGAACCTATTCTAGAGAGAGTGTCGCCGTGATCATCCGAATCCCATATCTGCATACTTACCATGACACCAACCTTCTATGTGAGTTTGCCCAGACCTTCCATCCCGTCACCACATCCCTAACCCCTGCAGACGCAACCTACCAAATCGACTTTTGGTCCATAATCGAGATCGGAATCGGCATTACCGCAGGGAGCCTCGCCACCCTTCGCCCGTTATTCCTTTGGGTCTTCGAAACTCGATCATACTATGGTGGTAACTCCCGTGGCAAAAAGCAAGGCGAAGAGGAGCATCCTCTGTCGAACCTATCCACGGATGCTGAAAGGTTACATAACCCAAGCAATTGGGGTGGGGAATTCGCTCCAGGAAAGTCGAACAGTCGTCTAGTAACCACCGTCACATCTCGTCTGAGCCATTCAGATAGGAATCAGGATGCTATGACCTTGGGTGCTGGGTCATGGCAGGCACTTTATCAGGTCAATATTCAGACAACAATCAAGATATCGGAGGGAGTGGATGAAGCAATATGATTGTGTTCCCAGACTTCTGTATATACTTTTCATTTGTACTTAAATTATATTGACATAACAACTAATCAACAGAGACAAGACAATTATTCTGATCATACCTTCCACAATAAGACGTGAGAAGATCATAAGTTATGCGTTCGTCATAGTCCGAATTTCGGGTTAAGGCTTACCACTCTCCGGAGGGCATGGCGAACCGAGGACGGAACGGTGGATGGCAGTTCGAGCCGTCCCGCATGCCAAGTTCATCCGACAAATCACATGCGCCGAATCGAAGTATACAGAAAGCATCAGCATGTCTATAAAGCCCGTGCAGGGCCTCTGATGGAGTGATAATTCTAGAGCAACAAATTCATTCTGACAGCTTCTACCAACCAACTCTTGAAGCGACAATCAAACCAACATGTCTACCTCCTTCGATCTTCGGAACCCCGGACGCCCGATCCATGTCGGCGTTGTCTTGTTGAATACGTGAGTCTTAATGTATACACATCATTGAAAGCATCCAACTAATGATGCTACAGCGTGACTGAACACCTCGACATCGCCCCTGTTGGCTTCTTCCATAACTTCAGCACCTCCTTCATCAAGAACCTCCCACCCTTCGCCATCTCCGACGACCTCAGATCCGAAGCCCTAGACTTCGTCACCCACTGGGTCACAGAAGATGGCACGACCCCAGGCTCCCTAAGCGGAAACCTCAAAGTCATCCCCACGGTACTCACCTCTCCAACCCACAATCCACGTCGCAAGGACATCACTAACTCCCACAGGACTCCTTCGCCACCTGCCCACCCCTCGACATCGTGCTCATCGGCGCCGGCCAAATGGGCTACCAAGCCACCACCACCGAGAAGGATTTCCTCCGGAAGTGCTACGCCGAATGTTCCGCGTTCTTGTCTGTTTGCGGTGCGTCGGACGCCCTCCTAGCCACCGGGATCTTGGAAGGCAAGACGGCGACAGGTCCACTTTCGTTTCTGCCATTGTTTCGTGAGATAGCGCCGGGCACCAACTGGGTGGAGAAGAGATGGGTGAGGGATGGGAAGATGTGGACTACGGGGACGTTGTTGAACGGCCTGGATATGATTGCTGCGTTCGGGAGGGAGGTTTGGGGTGGAGAGGGATCTTTGGTGGAACATGTCCTTCGGACAGGGTATTTTCCGAGCAGGGATGTGGATTATCAGGATGAGATCTGAAGTTGGGGATTTGTGTTACTTAAATTGTCGAGGCACTTGTCGCACTGATTCTTGGGGAGGAGTGGTCAATGATACTATATATATGTTCAAGCCGACGTGGCATAGTGCTTTTCCAATATGCAGTATCGGGGGGAGATTAAGGTGATGGAAAGGGAGATTAGTGAGCCTGTGCAGGTGGCTTGCTGTAGTTACGGGTGGCTATTGCCTCTCGAAGTCTGTCAAGTAGAGAAGTTATCTTAGAGTAGACTCTTGTTCAATGCCAGGGTGTGAATGTCCGTATAGCAAGCATACGGTATGAGCGCTAATCCTAATCGGGAGGTCCGGCTACACTTGCCATCCGCCCGTCAGCTCGGCTCAGCTTTCCCTCCGCACTTCCATATACTCCTTCGCCCTCTCTGACCGTCATCATTATCGATCGTTCTCGAATCCATTCATGACTTGATCTTGGGAATAACAGTAATGGCGGACGATTATAAGTTTATGTGTCCACGTCCGCGGAGCTCCAAAGCCTGCGATGCATGTAGAACGCGCAAAATCAGGTGTATACCCAACGAGAAAGGCGGCGGGACCGACGCCTGTCGAAGGTACGGACTAATTCTGGAGTACTGTGTTCGTGCTAATCCTTGTTGACTTGTGTAGATGCGCAAAGCTTGGATACACATGTACAGTTAACGGGAGTCTCCCTTCATCAACGTGAGTAATATGTTGTAACTTATCTTCAAGCCATTAGCTAACCGCGGACACAAGTGCAAACCGATCCAATGATCGAGTTGTGAAGGCTTCTACACACCATGGCGATGATGTTGTCTCAGGACTATTTCGAAGCCAGCCGAAAGCAGAAAAAGACGAGGTAATGCAGCTGCGCCAACTGCATCGCGGTATATTGCAAGGCCGGAGTCTCGGCGAAGGAGATCCTCGTACCCTGATAGATACCCAATCCAGCGTCGGTGATACCGTGGACTGTAATTCCAGGTCCAGCAAGATCAACTTGAATATGGATGAGGCCGAACAGCTACTACTGCAGTTCAGACAGCAAAGGGCATACTTCCCGTTCATCGAAGTGCCCGAGGGGATCACCGCGGTGTCAATGGCATCAAGACAACCTTTCTTATTGCTGGCTATTCTGACTGTATCCTTGACGCGGAAGCCGCTTCTGCAGAAGAGGTTGGATGAACGATTCCGTCGTGTGCTAAGTGAAAGGGTTATATTCTATGGGGAAAAGAGCATGGATTATGTTCAAGGTCTACTGGTTTATATGGCGTGGTATGATAGATGGTCCTGTTTGGTGAATGGTATTGACTATGATCTAGGCGTCCGTTACATATCCGACCGCTCAGTCGCCAGAGCTCGCAGTTCATACAGATACTTGTGACTATGTTATCTGACTTGAAGCTTACGGAAAATATGCACGATCAGGCTGCTCGAGACATCTGCCTTGGGTGTTTTAGTCTTTCATCTCTGTGAGTCTGTGTCAGGTAGTCTGGGATAAGTGTCTAATTGGATGCACAGGTTATCCGTTGGCTTCCGCCGCCGTGGTGATGACGTCGCCTATAAGTATCTCAAAGAAGCAGTGAATTCCAATCAGCGATTAAATCAACCGTATGATGAACAGTTTCAACTCTCAAAACTTCATGTCCTGTTCGAGGAGATAATGCGCTGCCAAATGGAATGTAGCCCTCTGAAATGCCCAATCACCAAACAACAGAGATTCGAAGAGAAAATGGAATCTCTCCGCCTAGAACTACAGATATTTGAACGAGTACATGGTCCCAGCACCAGTAAGTAAATCTACAAGCCCCAGAGGCAAGATACTAACATACACATTGTCCCTGTACATCTTCTACTATTATCACTCAAAGTGCATATCGCACTTCTACCTTTCCGAATTCTTGATCCTAGACCGAGCAGCATAACTAATCTCGACCGCTTCGTCGACCAAGGTACCTCCTGCGCCACTGAAATCCGGTCTTTTTTCGAATACTTCCTTTCCATCCCACAGGGTCGATACCTATCATTCTCGGTTCGGGATTGGTGCCAATTAATCCTCACCATCAGCGCAGCCTCCGACATCTGTTTCCTATCTTTTGCTTCTATGAGCCCTATATGGACCGACTTCCAAATCAATACACGATCAGGCATGTTAATCTATCTCGAGAGTCTTTCTCATCGAATGTCGAGACTTTCCGTCACCAAGGCTGGAGAGACCCCTGATGTATATTATATGTTCAAGTCGGTGTTGGATATTGTGCTGTCCACATATACTCCGACCAGCGGGGACTCTTCATCCCTAACGTCAACAAGCAGTAGGGAGAACGCTTGTTTGAGAGAGGAACCTGGCCAGGATGTGGCTGCTACTTCGTCCACACCTTCGACCCGCTGCCCCATGGTGAACGGGAGTATCCGAGAGTCAGAATTCTGGGAGGCCATGAAACAGAGTGATCTGTACCTGGACGGGTTGGCGAGCGGGGTGAACGGTGAGGATGTGTACACATCGGGAGTAGGTAATTTGCTCGCTGATTGTGGGGATTGGCCGAGCATCTTTTCAGAATGGGTCAACGTGTCAGTAACTTGAATGAGAGACATCCCTTAATGGGCGGAGACGTTACGCCAAATCATGGACCCGGTTTATCGGTAGGGGGTGCTATAGATTGTGTTTGGAGACTCGCATAGTCTGGCATTGTGACCTCACTATTATTCTGAGCGGAAGTCTAAGATAACCACACACCAATATCGATCTTTGGCAAGGGCTTTACGCTGTAAGTATCGTTTGAGTTGCAGACGCCTTATTCCAAGAAGGTTGCATAAGCTGCTCCTAGGACTCTAATAGAGACAATTGCAGCTTATATGACACCCCTGCCCGTATCCGCCTGCCAGGAATTGTTTACACAGCAGGTAGACCAGGACTCTTACCAAAATTCACATAGGAGGCATGATGGCTGACAAGCCCCCTTAGTCTCATCTCATCGGATCCAGTCCACGGGTGGATGATTTACTGAATTCTTTCCGCAACAGCGACTTTGCATGGTCGGTTTCATCTAAGTATGACCGAAAAGCAACTTAAGGGAAGACATGCGATCAGTCAAGCCAGAAAAATGGGAAAGCTCGCGAGGAATGCTTAGCATCCGAGAATGCTGAAGGTGTGGGAGTCCAGGGCCCAGGTCCGAATGCTATCGACCGCTGTCGGTGATACTAGGTGTATGACACTCACATTTCTGGATGTTATGAATTCCAAGGCCCGAGATAAGGACTTGCATTAGTATAATTGCTGCGGAGTAGGTTACAATCCAATCAAGTATCTCGTCAACATGCACTAAAGGACTACGAGGCGGACAAACCCAGCTCCTGGCGTGTTTCTCTGCGTACTTTTGCCATAATTTCTAATGGGCTTCGTAATTAGGGGGAAATAAATGTCGAAAGATAAATTTAATTAGATAGATCCAAGGTCAGCCGCTGCAAATGAGAGGGACGTATGGGTTGGTGTAACTGGGTACCCCTGGATACTACGCGGAAGGCCGACCCGGTGAGAGGGCCCAGGGTAGTTTTAGGAAGTAGACGTCAAGCAAGGAAATGTTGGATCCCAGGTACGCTGCTAGGAATATGTTCCTGTGGGCAAACGAAGGAGATTAGCAGGGGGGTGGCAAACCAATTAGCAGTGACTAGCGGAGAGAGATATGGAGACAAAAAATCGATTCTTGGGGCGAAGTGTCGGGATTCAGCCTTATATCAAGTTGTATTTATATTAAGCTGTAGATCCTGGTTGACATAACTTGCATATTTGACGGAGTTGTCTCTCTGTTGCCTTCTGGAAGGAAATTAAATAGGGACTCATGTCGGACCTTTAACAGAAACCTTGCATCCTTTTCAAACCCTCGGTCAGAAGCGCTGTGCGACATGAACTGGTAAGTGCGGTGGTGGAGCCAATTTTCTGACAGGTCAGCTGTTGGTGAGTTGAGACTTGGTGAACCTGTTTCAGTTTTCACCAGCCCCTGGATAACCTCGTTTCATCGTAGAATTTTCGGCCCCATACACCCATGCTGCGGTTCGTTTCTATTGGTGTGTGCCCGGATGGTGATTTATTGATGCAAGTATCCGCGTGGGTGCAGGGCTATCGCAGCATCAGCATTGGTGTTTGTGTCTCAGCGCCCCCACCAACACCGAGTCAGCGCTAAGCATAACCGCTACCCATTGGTGTGAACAGCCTTGCGCCGTTGCACCTTCGGATCCATTCAGAATCTAAGCTAACGGCGTTCATTGGCGAACCGTAAATGAGATCATTCCGATTAAATTGCACTGACCACATCGTCCTGATAAGCTTCTGTTCTTTGTTTCCGATCCTTTGTCTACTTTTTGGCCGAGAAATGAACTATTCTCCCTTCGCCATGGTTTCAATCTTAAGCAGCAAAGTTGGGGTCCAAAATGCCCATTACACACTCACGCCATATTTATTTTCCACGAGGCTTTCTCGCATGCGACGCAATGACTCATAACTGCAAGAAATGTTCCTGATTACCCTCACATCGACCCACGCGATGGATGTACACTCAGAAATGGATCTAGCAAACGCCCCGCCCTATGGCAACCAGCCTGTAACATGCCACAACCAACCTGACGGCTTGCATTAGTCTATCCCGATATTGCAGATGGGATAGAGAAAATGCTCCTATTGGTTACAACCCTGCATCGCCAGGTTCGGAGTATTGATTGGCTCGCAAAAGGCAGCCGTTTATAAAGACTCGAATGCCTCCGAACCAGTCCCAGATCACGCCCACTTACCTTCACCACCCACCCGGGCTCTTCGCCCACAGTCACTCCTTTATCGAACTACTACAGTTCATACTCCATTCTTCAATTCTATTCCACTCGTGCAGATAGGCTCGACGCCCTCACGATGATGAAATTCTTGTTCATTGCCCTTTTCGGGCTCCTATGGGCTAAGCAGGCGCTGGGCGCCGCCGTGTTCGCCCACTTCATCGTCGGCAACGCATGGAACTACACACTTACAGACTGGGAAAATGACATGACACTGGCCCAGGAGGCCCATATCGACGCATTCGCCCTGAACATGGGTTACGGTGACTCGTCCACCGCAACGCAGGCTGCTCTCGCGTTCGAAGCAGCCAACAAAGTCGACTTTAAGCTTTTCTTTTCCTTCGACTACGAAGGAGGCACCGGTGCCTGGCCAGAATCTGACATCCTCACTTACCTTAACAAGTACGCCTCCAACTCCGCCCACTACAAGTACAACGGCAAGGCGTTCGTCTCTACTTTTGAGGGTACCGCCTACGCGACGGACTGGAAGTCCATCAAATCTCAGGTAGACTGCTTCTTCGTCCCGGACTGGTCTTCTCTCGGCGCAGAGGGCGCCTATGAGGCTGGCGGTGGAGGTATCGTCGACGGCCTTTTTAGCTGGGGTGCCTGGCCTTCTGGTCCGAACAACATGAGCAATGCCACTGATCTCAGTTACCTCGATCTCGACATCCCTTACATGATGCCTGCCTCTCCGTGGTTCTACACCAACCTCGCCTCATACAGCAAGAACTGGCTATGGCGCGGTGATAGCCTGTGGCACGATCGGTGGGAGCAGATCTGGGATCTGCAGCCGGAGTGGGTGGAGATCCTTACCTGGAATGACTACGGCGAGAGCCACTACATCGGACCCATCCGCGAAGATGCAATTAGTCTCATGACGACTGGTGGTGCACCGCTGAACTATATTGAGAATATGCCCCACGATGGATGGAGAGACCTTCTTCCTTTTGCGATCGACACTTACGTGAAAGGAAACGCAACTCTCGGCGACGAAGGCATCGTCACCTGGTACCGACCGAACCCGTCGGAGTCCTGCGGCACAGGAGGTACTACCGGTAACACGGCTAGTGAGGGACAGACGCTATACCCGCCCGCTGAAGTTGCTGAGAATAAAATCTTCTACTCAGCAATGTTGCATTCGCATGCGAATGTCTCTGTCACTGTTGGTGGCACGTCGCTGGGCGCCACTTGGGCCAAACATGGCCGAAACAGCGGCGCAGGACTCTACCACGGTGCCGTGGAGTATGGTAGTGCGACTGGGAAGGTAGTGGTTAGTATCACCCGGGATGGGGAGACGCTGGCCAGTGTGGCTGGTCAGTCAATTAACGCGACGTGTGTCAGTGATTTGTCCAACTGGAATGCTTGGGTTGGATCTAGCGTTGCGAAGAAGACGAATTCCCGTCGTGATGCTACACTTCCAGTGAAGAGTAGACATGCGCACCGTCACGTTGGGAGAGGACATAACCGCTTTCATTAATGCAGGCATAGTGGGAGTTTAGATCTCAATTCAATTCGGTACAATGTATATTTCTTTTTGAGGTTTATCGTACGGAGAACATCAAACACGCGGTGATTCATGAGATATTGTAAGGATCACAACACAAGATATATAACGAGTAAGATACACAGCGTCACTTTGACGCCTATCTCAAGGAATAATAGTATCAAGGAGATAGATAAAGGCATACGCACACGCACACACAATGATAGGGCGCAATTTGCTCTCGCATTTAAGATGTATGTTAGGCTTGCGGCATTAGCTATCGACTATAGAGCCTACGTCAGTATACTGGACATCTGCTTTTCATTCCAGTTCCATTGTATCAGATAGTTTTCATCTGCGCCGCAAAAAGGTATAAGATAAGTATACAATTGCAGGACACGGTCAGTGATGGAAGGCTAATTAGTGCCTACTGGAGAACTCGTTGGTATTATGTTTCGGATTGCGATGATGGGCTCAGCAGGCACCCCAGCTGACCGTTACACCTTTTTGCCAGGAGGCAGCATGATGGAACCAGCTGCGGCGGGTTGGAAATAGTAATGAACCTCTACGTAAGTAGGGCCGCAGAATGTGAGATACTAGAGATGACCGGAGATGAAGGAGATGCCTATGCCTTCTTATCCAAGTCGGCAATGGGTTGTTCCGTGTTAAAGAGCGCCAGTCCTCCAATCTTCCTTTCCACCTACCAAGTCGTACCTATCCCTTGGCGGTAGCTCTTCGGTCGTCATAATGGTTGTATTATAACGCCGCGCGGCATGTTCCTACCAAAAACGACCCGGGAGTATAACTGAGCGGCAAACGTTAGATAGATACGAACATCGCATACACCCACGGTATTACGGAACGATGATAACAAGACTAGCATTTTGAGAACAATGACTCACATTGAACAGCTATATTGACATAATTTTTTGCTGATCCGCGTTTCCATCGACGCCATCATGACCACTTGCGGTGGCGCTGCCGGTGTACTTGATTCCAGGAACCTGGCACATTCTCCCTTCTCCCTTCCCCTTTCTACTCCTCGCTTCCACCTTCTAACTTCCCCCTACTCACTTCTCCCTATCGCCTCAAAGCCTTTGGACGTATGATCCCAAAGCCTTCATTTATTGCGCACCAAAACAATACAGGAAGAAATACCGAGATCGCAACCCCCCTTGGTATACTCTTACGATCCTTACCCATTGTCGCCCACAATGGATACCTCCTTTGATCCTACAACCAAGATAATTATGCTCATCATTGTGGGCTTTCTCGCATTCATCTACCTTATGGCCAATGGCTACATTATGTACTAATTCCATTCCTATCATAACGTGCGACGACACGGTGTCTAAGACTAACTTCGTTCGTCTACCTAGTCCACGATCTCCCGAGTCTATCTACATTGCGTACACCAGTGGCGATATGAGTGGACTGATGCAAGGCATCGAAGGGGCTCTTCAACAAGGATATCGTGTCCAAGTCATCTTCGACGGGGTCTAGAGGGATCCTAGGGTAGAGGATCTTCGATAAGAATGAAAAGACAAGCTCATGACTGATGACAATACGTTTCTCTGCAGGGCGTCTTTATTGCTGCTGGGGAATAGTGTAGGTGGTGATTTGTTTGTTCTGCTTGGGTCTGTCCGAACTATGCTCAAGTCGTCATTGCAAGGCACGTTTTCGCTTTAGGAGGTGCCAGCCGTTAACTAGCTAATACCTCGTTTTACGGGCGGGTCAGTATATAGTAAATAGTAAATAGTACTCCCATACCTGATCGAGCCCTACTATGTAAGATCCTAGCCTTAAAGTGCCTTATCTTTGAAGCGAGAGGATGGCTTAGCCCCGGCGAATTCCACAAATTCGGAAAATTACCCCTAAGAGCGCATGCTGCCACCGCAGCTAACCACGCCACTCAAATAGAATAGAGCAGAAGAAATAAATAAAACATGTTGCAACTGAAAGGCTAATTGTCGCGATACATTCTCCTCTGTCTTCGTTCCGATTTACCCGTTCCTGCTTCCTATGTGGTTGTTCTTTCTCCTTGGGGCGTGCTGCCTCGCCCACTTCAGTGGAGCGTGTTTGGGTCGTCTACCCTGACGTGTCCGTCGTCTGTCTTGAAAAGGTATGGCCAACAATCTTGCCAACCAGGTCGAACTTGTTAGTTTATCAGCCGTCGAGGTATCCACTTGTTTGTGGGCTAGTCTTTCTTCCTGGTCATCCCATGGGATCTTCTTTCTTCAATAGAAAGAAGAGCTGGGACGATGTAGAGTGGGATGTCGGATTCGGAGGATGAAGTATTATGGTGGATAGTCCTCTAGCCTTGGATAGGGCACGTGCTTAGACAGCCACTGCGGAGGAAGTAGCAGCCCCATCAGAAAGGCTGCTGGCCTCAGGCGTGGTTGGATTGCGCGATCTCAATTTGAATCGGTAGCTTGGGGGACCTTGTCCAAAATCATGCCAAGCCTAAAAGTAGTTCCGTCGACCATGTTTCAGGAAGCATGTCTGTACTGGTTATTATATTACATTCCCATCTACTAGTTTCACTGTCACGGAGCATCTATCTGTTATCGTAGACAATCCTTAGCTGCTGGTTGCAACTTGCTGCCATGAGATCTAAGAACATCTGTTGGAAAGATGGACAAATTCCGTACTCTCGTAATTGGCCCGTGGCACTACTGGCCTGATAGTATTGGGGCAGTTGTGCCATCTATTGAGGATGCGTGATGATTCATTGACAAAGAAACAACTCCAACAACGAGCTCAAAGAGTATGAAGCATATTCGACTTCCCGGACAGATGACTTATTCAAGAAAACACTGGAAAGACAAAAGTATTGAAAGGGCAGATCAAGTTAGCAATAAAACTATTGCAAAATCCTGTGTGAAGGTATGAAATCCGTAGCAACAGTGAACGCCCCGTCAGTCCAAGAAAGCTAACGAGTGGTTGAAAGTCCACAAGATGTAATTAGATTGCACGACCATGATACTGAGTAACAGTACTCTAAGAAGTGTACCGACATTGCTGGTTTGGCAAATGACGCATTTCAGACTGCGCCTAGTGACTATATGAGTACAATCAATGCCGTTAGCCATAAGTCCGATGTAGCAATAGGAATGGGAGCATACTTCAGTTTGAATATGAATAGTATAAAAGACGCGAACAGGGCTGCAAAGAAGAGGACGTATGTAAAAACACGCCAGTCCTCGTCTTTCAAATAGGGCATTGCCGCTGAAAGGCACCTGAAGACCAAATTCGGCATTGATGAACTGCACGCTTCCATAGTCAGGTCTGCTGGGAGTGTCTGTTAGGAAAACAGTAAAAGAATTGCAGGGTAAGGATAATCGGTCTCATTTTATAGGCGAACGGTAACCGACAATAACGAATGATGACGGCCTCGACCGGAATGGTACCAGGAACTCAAGTAAGACGTGCACCGCCCGTGTGAGCACCGAAAGGTCTACTAAGCCACACTGGTACCTCTGGTTGCTATCAGGATCTCGAAAGTGACAGCCCATGTACTACAGTCTATTTTCTCTGCGAAATTCAAATCCAATAAGAATTATGGATCTATACGCCCCCACCAGCTCACACGTTCTCTGGGTGGCGCAACAATGCCCTGATGATCTTGAATCTTCCTGCCCTAGTAGGGAAGGTAAAGCGGGGTGAAGCGCTAATGAGTTAAAAGTAATGCTGATATGAGAGTTACATTAGCTCACCTGAGCGTCTGTGTGTCCCGAGGGGTGGGCGGTATATGGCCTTTGTCTCGGTTCATACTCTTACTTGTAGTTTCTACTATAGTATTCGTCACATCACTCTGATTAGTATCCAGGTTGTCATAGAATATGTTCAAAGTGCTTCGTGCGGTGGTACATGAAGTAGAAACTGCATGTACAGCAAAATCAGAGCCCCGTACTAATCGAATTCTACGATGAAGCCAGCCTAATATCAATTTTTCGTTGATTCGAGCATGACTGCGTCTCCATGATGGTGTTGTGGGATTGGGGAAGTCCCCCCAGTCGGACAAACGGAGCCGGGTTGGAGCAGCAGCAGGGCTTGCGTTGTTAGACTCTGGCGTTGCCAGCGATAGATTCATTTAGAATCTAGGTCTTTACTGCTCAGCCTTGGACCATTTGGTCGGTAAAGCAGTTTATGATGCAAGTCGTGCTACCTATATTCAGCCAATATTTACTGTAGAAGGTCAGCTGTTGTCAACAATACAGAGTGATACTAGAATGTTCTGGATAAAGACATGGACTAGGACTCAGAATAATCAAACAATTCTTCTTAAAAGTAACAGTTCTCTATCTAATATAGTTTATATTATGGCCAAATAATAGAAAGACGCCAAGTGATGTAGCTTCGCAGCTCCAAGTAGATCAAGCCAGCAATCACCCTATGCGTTCCCTGTGGTAGGTGGTCGATTTTGCGACCACAAAATCGACCACCCTATCATTGAGGCCCGGCGCGATAGCTGCTGGATCCAGTTTTTGTCCATGCGCATCATCATTGGCTACGGTGACGGAATGAACTTGCTCATCTCCAGTTAGAGACTCAAACACTTCACCCTCTCATCTGAAACATCACTTTCACTCACTCACGCCCCTCAGACTCAAGACGCTCCTGACTTATCACACAATGAAGTCAAACATGCCAGTATATCAGCCGCTGAAACCAAATCATCAATTCTCCCCCAAGCCGACATTCAACTATGCCTCAACGAAAGGGTCCCTTCTGGATGACGATGTCTGGGAGTTGTTCAGAGCTCTGCTTCTCTTGGCGCCTCTGGCCATTGGGAGTTTTTGGTCGTGCATTATCTACTGTGTTCTATCCCCACCTATAACAGCCGGTGTCCATTCCAGAGAAGTTAAGAGCTAACATAACCGTTTACATTGGCTAGGTGTCCCGACTTCCATAAGCCCAACCGTATTGTTTATGACTATGTCGATGTCGGCCCGCTCCTAGTAGCTCTTCCTGAGCGCGAAGTTTATATAGAACTCGTATTCAAACTAGCCTGGGATTGTGCTATGTAAGGCTCCGACAATAATCAGAATCTAACCGACCGGGGAGAAGTTGTTATTAAGTCGGCAGAGGGAATCCCTGATATGTTAGCGGCACTCCCCCCAACAGCCTTCTCCGCACATGTTCCCAGGTCAGCAGCAGCAACAGGGTGCACCAAACATGAACCATGGCCCTCAAGAGTCTTACTAACTTCACCCTCTTCGGCACGCCCATACAGTACGTGGAACAGTCTCACTGGTATGACCGGCTGCTGGACGTATTGCTCGGCGAGGATGAAACCTAGAGAGACAGGTTGACGTCGGTCTATCCATGCTGTTAGAGACAGACTCTGGATAGTAGCCGCACGAGGGATATATTATTTTTAACGCACGCAGCTAGAAAGAGGAGAGCTAGGCACTGGAAGATACTGGAGAAATTCAAACATACCCCTATTCCAATCATAATGATCTCAGGTAGTTATAGACTAATTTCAGGCCCCATTCAATGCTTTGCACAGGGTACACAGGTCCCCATGCGAGTGATTGCGTGTCTCCGAGATCTAGCGCGCTGGTTCACTGTAACTGTAGCCACAGATTCCTCAAGATACGAATCTTACAAATCGTGGACGTTGATCATAATGAGGTGGTTGGGAGGTTGATCCGCCGATTCGATCGTGTCTACCCCACCATATTGGTGTTTGGGTCACAGGCTGCATTAAGCTAAATACGTAGTAGGTGCCGCTGTTAACCCTGCTAGCTGTACCTGGGTAAAACTCGGTAAGTGAGCGGTTAGCAGCCTACATAATAACATCAAAAGTTTAGACGCATACCATACACTATTTTGATAATAGACAACTTTCTTTGTGCGAACGGAATCACTATGAAGTATGGGGAGTATGGTATTGATTAAACATTGCCCATGTAAAGGAGATGACTTCCTTCAAATACCGGTATTGAAACTGAGACCTTGACCGTGGAAAAGAATCTCCTTTTTGCCATCGACCTTGCTCGGGCGCGCTCACCAATGAAGCATGGGGAATAGGTGTGGCAAAGGTTCAGGGCATCCGACATGCATGTGTGTTCCGGGCGCAGCTGAACCTGCTGAGGGGAAGTAAAGAAGTCCCTAATGGTTCCAACTTGGCCGGCTCCACTTGGAGCGGAGCTAAAACATGAAGGTCCAGTTATATCGACTGGGCCAAATCCCGAAAGACACATACTATTCGGAGCTGAGCGCAGCAAAGCAACTGTTAACTCGAGCTGAAAACCGAGACGATATGTCATCCTTCAAATTGTATGTTTCCGGAAACTATAAAAGCTTCTCAAAGAAACACCAATCCATCTTCGCATCATCAGAGCCCGTTTTCACCGGTACCATCTATTCTATCATCTTTGAGTCATCCGCACCATGTCCTCAACTTCCAATGCTTCCTGGGAAGTTTCCTCCCTTCAGGTTCAGACCACTACAGCGGATGCTGTCACGGATACTCTCTACGCCAATGGCCACATGCAGGTCCCTGTTGTCGTTACCATTAAAGCCATTGATCCTGAGTCGGCTGCAACATATGAGCTGAAGGATTCAGACCTCGAAAAGATCAAATTGATTGACTACGACGATGAGACTCCAGCCACGGAATTATCGGGGTCATGGAGTTACTCAGCCACAGAAAACGAATTCGACCACGCATTGCCAACCTCGAGAAAAGAGCCCCAAACGGACTTATCCCTTGCGGATGGGGACCCTCAAAGAAAGCGCTACTGGGTGACAACGACAAAGATCGAAAACAAAAGGATTGGAGCCAGTATTAAACAGCCTGATGGTACTGTTGTACATACAGCGAGTGCAGGCTTTGATTCCAAAGTCACTCTCCGGAGTATAGACCCAGTGAAATATACAATGGATGACTTGAATCTTGAACGAGAGGATACCGCCGATGGCAATTTTTATTCTCCAAACTATCATTGGTACTGGGATCAAGACAATTACTATCTCACCAGCACGATATACGATTTCCGAAAGGTTGAACTGCATGGTTATGATGGTGGCACTGATGATCCATACCTGAAATATTCCACCGGCTTTTTTTCGGTGCACGAGCCTTGCAACATCTTCTATTATTGGCCGATGGGCTCCAAGGAGACGCGTACAGTGGGGAAGGGACTTATGACAACTGAGATTACGATAAATCAAAGAGCCAACGCCATGTGCTGTACCCGTATGCGGTTCGAAGGGGCAAATCCATGGAAAGAGCATCAATGGTGGGAGGGAAAATTTACCATCTACGACAAATTTGGCAATTCGGGCATTTTTTTCATGGGCTATGATGAAGATCGTAATCAGCTGCAGATCTCAACTAAAGGATATGAGGGTTGACATGCTTTGTCCCAATACGGAAGATGGAATTGTGGGGTTCCTGTGATGTTGTCGTGTTTTGAATCCGTGAGATTTTGATACGAATTTTTTTTTATCATATAGCCAAATTGTCTTGCTATCGGACAATGTCGCTTGCATTATCGTTGTTGATCCCGCAAAGGTTGGGGAGTACACATTGAACGTGCATTAGCTTTTTGAGTCTGTTGATGGACATAGAGTGTGTCTGGTGACTGGGGTAGTCTTCAAGTGTAGAACACTAATGGTAGATTCACCCACTCCGGAGAGACGACAAGGTCTGTACTAGCTTGCCCCATGAAGTAAAGGATTTTGGTCAATACCATGTATTACTATTTTATCTAGCTACGTTTACATTGAGAAAAGGAGAAAGGAACGACAAGGACGTGTTCAGCGGTATCACATAACGAAATGAAGAGATTCTGGGATACCTTTGATGCATCCATCGGTGCGTAGAGGATCACACCAGAATAAGAAAATCTTAGGAGCGCCGGAACTCCGTGCGTCCGTGGGAGGCCGTGAGGATGGTATCACATTGACAGTAGAAGCAAAAGAGGGAAAAGAAAGAAACAGAAAAGACAAACATCTGACCAACCAGAAATGGCTGAATATCTGACGACCCTGACCTTATGCCCAATGATATATATATATATATCACTTCATTATTTCTAGTTATCATGGGAAAATAAAGCAAAAGGCTGCCGCAGCATGAATTTCCTCAGCCTTTGGGCTTGAATGTTGTTGGTCGCAGTTCCGGACTAATCGAGACTTATCCGAATGTAATCATGAAACGGCCTCGATGTTCATATAGAGCTTTTAAGAGTTGACCACCATCATTCTGGTTGTAAAGAACGCAGTTGGGTTCATTAATGAGGGGACCACTTATTTGATATGCCCATTTATGTTAGCCGTCCACACCTCCCAACAAGCCCAGTTTGTTATGGGATTGAAGTACATACAATATCTTTGTCAGGCCCCAAAGAAACATAAGTATAAATAAAATGCCCATAAAGACGCATGTGAGTAATTCCCGACTTTCTTCACTCAGATGGGGGACCAAGAATGAAGGATAGTAGAAAGTCAGTCCAGTGAGTGATCGACGGCTTGCGTTCATGGTCTGAGATTCCGGCATTCTTGATCTCATGGTCTGATACTTTGGCCTTTCGGATTCCATGGCGTGATTAGCTGGAGGCAGTTTCGAGGGTGTCAAAGTGGAAGGTGGAAAGGAGGAATCAGAAATGGGGAATGGGCTGGCACAAATATATACTCTTGCTTGTACATCTAATGATGATGCACGTTGACGGAGATTGGTTCCAGCGGCTACTCGTTGCTGACGTGCTTTAGCTAATTTTAGATCTTGAGCAACAAAACAGTGAATACCGCATAATCGCCATAGCGGACTAGCAGAAGAGGTACTAATAGTCAGACATTTGTCTACAGTGGGACTCGATGCCTATTGTTAGGACAAATCTCTCTCCGTCGGCTCGCTGAACTTACGCGAGATATTGTCCTTGATTTATCGGTTAGCGCATCCATTATTTACAGTATGCCTTTCATTTGACTATCAGTGTAATTATTTGTCGAAGCACTAACCGCTAGACCAAAAACGATATATCGCGTCTAGTCAGCCAGGCGACGGAGAGATATCTGTCCCAACATTCTTTGTTGATACTGTCGCTGAATGAGTTAGGGGGTGGAATAAATGGTAGGCTGTGATTGAACCTGGCTAATGAAATATTTGGAAATATTTGAGTTCCCGAAGCTGATGGTGCAGTACACGTTTGATAGGTATCAGGGGGCACAAGTTATATCTGTGGCTTAAGTGGATTTTATGCTGTCTAACTATTGTAAGTCTTGTAGTGGTATATCACAGAGCATCAGTCAAGCAGGCTATTGTTTTACAATGATGTAACCCCTACCACAGAAAATTCACCAAACCATGATAACCGTATTGCATATTAAGGCTCCCTACCCGCCCCAAGTGATTAACATTGTAGATCTTACATCTGGTTATTCATACTCAAATGCTGCCTTCAGTGACTACAGTAAGGATGACCACAGTGTATCATTTCGTGAGCAGTATCCAAGGCTTGACTTTGTCTGCATGATCCTACTGCTATAGTCTTTTCACTCGAGTTCTTCCACTGAGTATAGAGGAAAATGATGACATAGTCGCTGTTACCTATACAGCAGGTACTTTGATGGCGTCACCCACAAGGCGCCGTAGCGGCGAGTAAAATTTCCGTCCATGCGTATCATCATTGGCTACGGTGACGAGAGAAATTTTCTCCAGTTAGAGATTCTCTCTTCTTACCTAACACCACCCTCACACTCAAAAGCCCTCCAACTCAAAACACTACTGACTAATCTGACAATGAAGTACAAAATGCTAGCATATCAGACGCTGAAATCAAACCGTCGATTCTCACCTAAGCCGGCCCTTGAATATACCTCAACCTGCTAAGCTCATCTACTTTACATACGCTAATGCCGATGTGGATGCGCTGCTGCGAGCAATTAAAGGGATCCTGAACAAGGAGGCTGTATCATAACCACCTTGAATAACTGGACTTCTCTGAGAGCGGTCCGTTTGTGCTAACATAATGCTTCAGCATTTCGTCTTGAATCACAATCGAACCGAGGCGAA